ACAAATATGATTCACCTTGAACTTTTTGTCTTGTTTTCTGGTCAAGGATTGTGTGCTTACACAAAGAGTAATCAAACTTGCAAATTAAAAGCCAATTAGGTGGAGAGAAAAAATGAAGGAGAAAAAAAGCCTCTAGTTGTCTATTCACTATCAGAATTTTCAAAATAATATATGGATAATTGATTTATTCCCTATTTCCATGGCAACCAAGTAGTTTTAATAATACCAAAAATACCTGTGCTTTGCCTTACCTTATCTCATCAGGTTGACTTGCAGTCCGTCGGCCTACCATATTCATTTGCATGTAGCAAGGTGACAGCCACCTTAAACCCTCCTTTGACAACTCAATGAGCACATTCTCTTCTATCCATAACTGCATCTTGAGATGATCACTGAACCCAAATCACATCACTGAGGGACAAGAAGCCTCCATTCCATTCAAAAACCTCTATATGTGTTACTGGGAAAGTAAATTTTTCCACTTACTCGCCTGTGGTGAATCTTTCAGGTACACAAAGTTTGCTTAAAACTGACAGTAAGAAAGTCAAAAACAGGCTGGGAGACATCACCTGAGCCCCAAATGCAACTGTGCCTAATGATTAGGAATGTATTCCTACTCTTTACCTATGAGCGCACTCCTAATCTTTTAGTACATGTGTCAACGCTTTCCTTTCCTTGTAAGCCAAGGTGAATCAGACTTCCTGTCCCTAACAATTCAAAGTCCTAACTTCAAGAATCCTCTACTTTCCTTCAAAACATTTGTTAGAGTGTATTTTTATTATTTTTTTAATGCCAGCTTTCTTTCCTAGGCTGTAGTCTCTGCACAAGCAGCAGCATCTTATATATCCATATGCATCTCAACGCCTAGAATAGTTCTGACCCTTAATATTGAATAACTGAAAAAACAATTCAGGCCAACCATTTTCTTAAAAAGTTAAGAAGATTAAGAAGTTTTCCAAAAAGCTTAAGAAGTTAACATTATGGGGCTACTTTTATATGTGTGAGAGATATCTGTTGTTTCAAGATGATAATATATGCTGAAATCCTTAAATTTACAGAGTGGTCATCTACAGAGTTAAAGATTGCCCATGAGCTCTATTTTGAATGATACAAAGGGCCTCCTTCTTCCTGTATGAACTTGAGTAAACTATTTTTCTAAGCCTCACTTTGCTCACCAGTGAAAGGTGTTCACCTCAAGGCAGGCACCTGTAGGTAGCAGCCTCTTGGTAAGCTGAATTACTATTAGTACAAATGAACTTACCAGATAGCCAGAGGAGAAAAGGGGATATATATATACTCAGTTGAAAACCAAAGCACTTGACTGGACAAAAGCAAAGGCCAAGGGCTGCATAACACTGACATTTTTATTAGAATTCATTTGTAACAAATGGAACTTGTGTCAGCAAAGAACTGATTTTCATACAGACTTCTTTCGCCACCAATGTAACGAAGTAAGAAAATAAAAAGCACGCCTTTCATTCTGTAAAACATTTACGCGTACTACTAATTAGAGGTAATTGTATTTTTTAACAAGCCATTTTACAAGTTATTTTTTTTTTAATTTTTCAGTCTATGCATCCAAAACGAGAGCAAAGAACACAACTGTTTTTATCTTTGTAAAGACACTCCAAGCTTGAATGGCAAAGCCACATACAGATGGATAGGATGGATCTGTAGCCTTCTGATCACTGCTGGAGTATCAGGGCACCCATAAACCCGAAGGAAATCAAAACCCATAAAGGAAAAAGAAAAGGGAATTAAAAATAAAAAGGAGGGACTAAAACAAGGCAAACCCAAAAATAAACAGGAAAGAAAAAAATCTCTACGTTACTGAAGAATTTTTTCCCTTCCTGCATCGATGTTGTGTTATTTACATACACACAAATGAATTTCTGAAGCAGTTTCTTACAGATGGGTTCAAGTAATAACATTATTGGGTGTAGAATCAATAGGGCAGTGCATAGTACAAAGGTATAGAAAGTGCAAAGTTCCCTAGAGGCCCTTCCCTCCCCTGGCTGTCCTCGCCGTTGTCTAACCATGCAAATCATTTTTAAAAAAGAGCTAAAATAAAGTTCTGTACAAATCACTTTTTATATATTTTGATTTTTTTTACCATTGTAACTAATTACAAAATTATACATAACTACACGTACATAGGTAAATAATAGCACCGTACTGGTTATGATGATGAAAATAATTGGAAACTTGAAAGTTTATGGTTATGGTAGATAAAGATGTTTACCTGGGAAAATCAAACTAGAATGGTTGCACAGAGTGGAATGCACATCAATGACAGTAAGGGAGTTAGTTCTCTGAACAGCGCCTAAACAGTAAGATACCTAGTCTCTGCCTCGTTTGTATGGTATGCATCCCATTGATTTTCTTCTTGTGATTATTCTCCTCTTTCTCTTTGCCAAATGGACAGTTTTTACTTCAGGGAAAGAAACTGCTCACTGGCCAGTTGTCTTTGTGCGTTAGACACCATCATATTCTACATGTCTAACATGGCATATCTGCAAGTCTGTCTGACCCCCTTTGTTTCACTAAATGAAAATCACAGCACTCAGTAATCTGGCACTTGGATAAATTTCCAAAAGATACAAAGTAAAAGAAAACAACAGATCCACATAGTGCACATTCTTCTCTGGTTCTGATGTAGGTTAGAGAGTCTCATTCTGAGGTAGCCTTCTAGATACTTTTTTTTTTTTTTTAGTATTATTTATTTTTTTCTTTTTTTTTCTTTTTTTTTTTTCTTTTTTATACAAAAGTGCTCAAATAAGATGCTTGCAAGTGTTTGGTCTCTTGGATTTCATTCTACTAGTAATGGTAAAATGTGGAAAACAAAAATCTTTGTATGCTGAACAACAATGAAGTTAAAATTAAACCAAAATATTCTATCTATACCAAAACTCTTTAGGAGTTCCTTGGATATTTTGAGGGTTCTTTAAAATCATATAAGATATGGCAAACTCATGCCATTATCCATGGCTTCCTATAGCAATTTTGTTGGAAAATTTGGAATTATATTGGGAAATAAACAGTTGCTCAATTTCCCCTTTTAGAAAAATCCTAATGGACTAGTGAGTATATTCCAAAGTTGACAATGATATTTATCACTAAAATAAGTTTGGTGTAGTTACTGAATGTTACAGAATAGATTTGAAAAGGATTCTAAATAAAACAAGTAGCTTTTCCTGATGTTGGCAATCATGAAAGGAAGGGCCCTGATTATCCAAGTGCTTTGGGCTGGTACAATCACTAACATCCCCGACTTAGTTGAAAACTAGGAATGCATATTATTCAAAGAGTTTTTGTACATGTGGTAAACAGATAATGCTTTAATTGGAAGAGTAACATATATGAACAACTAATGAAAATAACCAAAAGCTAAAAAGAAATGCTATTAAAATAGGCATCAATTATAAGGCACTCTAAATGCATAACTAAAACCAAAAGGAAAAGTACAGCACTTGCCAGGAGTGCTGTATGCCACAAAATGTTTCTGACTGAATAGAGTAACATGAGTTTGGCTTTGCCCCTGTTACATATCATAAATGCAAGTTTCATAGCACATACTATAGACAATATACGATTGAATACATTGTTTTTAAACAACTTGATAGCTGATATATTACAACATTCTCCCCTCCTAAAGGGATATGCACTGACCTTTCCCACATGCACACCTCTTAGATAGTTAATAATTTTTTTATTGCACTAGAGTGTTAGAAATATTGAACTTTGTTGGAAGCCTGGCTAACAAAGGATATCTGAATATGAGTAGGTGGGTGGGGGGAGACTGGGTAGGAAATTAGGGGGTGAGGTTTGACAATCACTGATGTGCATTCCTCATTTCCCTTAAAATTAAAAGTTTATGATATTAAGAAATACCCATATGTCATAAAATTAATAACAAATTGAAAAAGATGTTTATAATACCTTTTCTACCTAAAAAAAGACCCAAAAAACAAAAACAAAAACAAAACAAAAAACAAAACAAAATCATGGAAGAACTGAATGATAGCTATATCTATCTTTTTGTGTGGACACACTGTCTATATATACATAGACACCCCTGTAAAATATGGATATATATGTATATATGTTAGCAGCAACTTTATACTTTGCGCCTCCCTGTTGATTCCAAAAACAAAACAAAACAAAATGAAGTTCTCTTTTACTGTTTGAAGAGAATGGGTACTTTCTCACCAACCGAAACTGAACAGAAGTGTAAAAGTAATCTGACAAGACCAATACTGTAGATTAAGAATATTGCACAAAAATGTGCAAATGTTCAAATTATTTGATATTTCTACAGCAAGATATTACAGATAACAGTTCTACAGCTTAAAAAAAACCTACAATTTGGAAATAAAAAATGAAGAGTTATGTATCTTTTTTTAAAATTCACTTTATCGAATGATACATTTTGTTAAAAAAAAGTTTACACAGTTAAAAATGAAGCACAGGTCAGCAGTATCTTTACAATACTAAAAAACTAAATCAAAGACTTTCTTTTTAAACATTTCCCCCCATTCCCCCTGAAATGTTATTATGAGCAGTATGGTGGGAAGGGGCGATGTCGCAGCAGAGTCCATTTTATCCTATGAGAAGCCACACCAGCAAACATCTTGCACTGAACTGTAGGACTCTGGCAATTTCTCCTCACACCTAACAAGCAATCCTGGACAAGATGGTGGTTCTTTGCTGTGATTTCTTCTTCACTTTATTTTGAATCCTTAAGGTATCTGTAAATAAAATCCTTCAGATGCCTCATCAGTCAGGATTCTCTTTATTATTTTTCAGGTTAGATTATTAAACTGTGAATTCTTGGTCCACCCAAAAGAGTTTGTTTTTATTTTGTTTTGTTTGTAATAGTCCCACTAAGTGGTAGTTAGCTAGAAGTTAAGAAGGACTTCTCGAGTGCCCTGTATGGCTCAGAAGAGACTCCGTGGATACTGAAGGGCCTGCAGTAAGAACCCAAAGTGGGTCAGGGGTTTCTACGTTGCATAGTGATCAAAGCTGCCCAGGTACTCCAGTGCGGCTCGGTAGCAGAACTGGTACTGGTCCTGCAGGAGACCAAGCATGGGAAGAAACAGGACAAGTGGCTGTGAGTACATTTTAATAGAAAGATGAAAATCAAATTCCAAAACCAGTTACAACTAGATGGGGGCAAAATCACTACTCTCATCAATTAATTCAATCCAATGATTGATCCGTTTTAGTGAGCAAAGAATGATCAGCCTCATGGGGTGTCTGTTCACTTCACCAATCAGTTTGACTAAAATAGTCTCCTTATTCCTAAGTTGTAATGGCTAGAGTGAATATTATCTTCCAGACAGTGTGAGCATTTCTCCAAGCAGTACCAAACAATTACCAATACTGAACATGTGAACATATCACTGCTGTTTTTTACAACTATCTGCTTATTTGTGATAACTTATTCTCAGTTTGCATATTAAAGACAGGCTAATTCAGAGACACACATTGTCCTGAGGAAAACCTGGATTCATTTATCTTCTGGGCTATTGAAAAAATAATTTGAATTAAAAAAATTGTATCAGATAGTAGACCTTAGTACCTGCAATCAGAATTACCCACCATCATTTCTGATGTTATTATTTAAGTAAGGGTGAGGAATAGTAGATACATAAAGCCATTTACAGAGGGCTCTGGAGTTTCAAGCTTTTCATCCCCTGAAAATGGCATCAAGACTGGCTGCCTATATCAAAAAACACCCGTGTCATTTGGCCTAATTGAGTGTGATTGCTGGTTATCTGTTCTAGAACGGCCTACATTAAAATAAAGTAACTTGAAACATGTCCTTTTTCAGACAGGAAAGAACATTGTCATATTGGAATAAGTTGGGGCATTGTTGGAGAGAGAAAAAGTAGAATTTTTGCCATAAAAGAAAGTTATTTTCAGCAGCCAATGGGGCTGAAAGTAGATAGTTTCTATTTTGCTTAAATGTGCATTTTTTTATAATAAAAATGGTAATGCAAAATAAATGGAATTTGCTTCCCTATGTTGTCACAGTAAGCTGCTTGGCTAAATGTTAAAGGGTTTTTAAACGTCCAATTTCCCTCTGCTACCCCCAGCACCCATTAAGTTTGTCAGGCCGACATCATGCTTTGGGCAGTGCAAGCCAAATGCTTGTACTATTTTGAAATCACAATTTGGAAGATATTGCGGGTAATGAATTTAGGAATACATATAAATTGTATAATTTGGCGGCCTTTTGAGGAGCAGAAACACTCACTCATTAGAAATGAACAGTCAATATGCCAGACTGGCTATATCACAAACTCATATTATTCTTAAAAAAAATAAGAATTTCATTATCAGTTATTAGGAGAGAATATGGGGTATTAATGTCTCTAGGGCCTTTCCAGGATCCAAATATATAAAATGGCATACACAGAGGGGAAAGAATGAGGTTCAAAAGTACTAAACAACTGGATTTTTCCTACAATATTTTCCTGTATCTTGTTCTGGTGGCAAGAGTCTCTGGATTCTATGAGGTCCTGGCTAATAAAACCTATTACTTGGTTCTTGAGATGTGACAAACTCATGGAGATTTTTCTCACCTCTGTCTGTACCATGGCTGGTCGTTGTGTTCTTAACATTTTGACAGTCTGGAAGATATCTACAACTCCTTCATATCTCATTCTTTCCAAAACAATGCTTAGTGTTATGAAGACTCCAGTTCTTCCGACGCCCGCACTGTCATAATGACAAAGACAGCGTTACTGGATGCGACACTCATAGTCTTCACCACGTTTGCTTGGAAGCAGACATATGTGCACCTGTTTCCATATGACATCAGGTTCTTCCACAGCAATGTTGCAATGTTCAGGAAAATGTGGGGTTGCATTAAAAAATGACTACTCTTAGGAAAATGTGTCATGGTAAAATGTGAGAATGAATGTAGGGTAATTAAGTCCTACTAACACAATGACTTTTCCACTGGGATTTGGTAAGATGCAGGAAACATAAATATGGGAAATAAATAGATGCAGGGAATGGTAAGTCAAATATAGGTTAATACTCTTCATGCAGATCCTGAAATTGTAAACCTTGCCTGCTTAATATTTTTAAAGTGTGAAATAATTTTGATAAGGTAAGGTAGACTTCAATTTTATTTATTTCTTGTAGTCACTTACAATCTATGCAGGATGTTTCATTATTTAGACATGTCAATAAATAAGAAGGCTTATAGACTCTTCAAATTTAGACATTAGTTTTGATTTGAGAAAACAGATCTGTTATCTGATTTTTTGATACAGGATTCTTATTTATTCTTTAGAAGGGTTGGTGAATGTCTTATATGTACATATTGTGTAAATGTATATATATCTGTTTTCTCTGCTGAAAATTAGGACTTTAACAGATTCTCAAAGGGGTCTTACCTTAAAAAAAATGAGCTATATGTTTATCAACTAGTTTTAGATGTTCAGGAGCTAAAACACCAGGATTCTTTCTACCACATTAACAATGTTTTGACTTTGTTTTCTTTATTGTTTTAAGATAATTCCAGAATGTTCACTGCAGCTAGAGAAGAAAATTAATTCGTAGCTTTTGTGCTCTTAAAAAGTAGGAAAGCATCTGGAGGTTTAGGTAATGAGGAGAAGAGTGAATAATCTGAAAAATCCCTACATTTTTGGATCCTAATTAAACGGCATGTGTAACGCTTGGGTACAGGCTGTAGAAAATGGATGGATTCATTTACTTGGGGATGTAGCTGACAGGCATATATAAATAGTGGGTCCCTTTATAAACTGGGTTTTCTAAAGATCCCAAACAGAAATGTTAAGTGCAGCTTTAAAATCCATGGGCAGTCTTTACTAAGTGGCTGAAGATGTCCAGGAGTAGTCAAGGTTCTCTGTTAAGAGAGTAGATGACCTTGAAGGTCCCTTTCAACCTTGAAAGTCTCTCTTACTCCTGAGAGGCTGTGATTTATGATCTTTTTTTTTTCTCCCTGAATGGTCCAGGTATTCCAGGGTCTATTTAACCTTGATTTGATTGCTCAAATGTATCAAAATATAGGATTTCTGGATTTCTACTAGGTGCTTTCAAGAAAATAACAGACAGTGGCCTTACAACTTCTGAATTTATTGACTTCAGAATGCTAGTTTAATAACTTGTAAATGAGGTGAATAGTATTTTAAGGATATTCCCAGATAAGGTAAAATATCTAGAAGTCATATATATATATATATATATATATACACACACACATGTATGTGTGTGTGTGTGTGTGTGTGTGTGTGTGTATAAACAGGTCATAGGTAAACTCCTTATACTAAAGAAGTATTTAAATCATTTTGTGATGGTAAAAGCAATGAGAAGTAAACACATTTATACACTTAACTTTATGGCAATGTCTAAAGTTAAAAATATGTATTAAATATATCCTTTTTTATAGTTTATACTAGAAAAGTTTGAATTAGCATTTGGGCAACTTATGTAGAAAGTTAAGGGGAATGCTCAGGTAATTTAAGTCCAATCTATACCATCCATTGTGTCTGAATATTGGAGTGTATATGTTATTCCCTACATGCTCTTTGGTTGTCTAGAACAAAGGATTTTGGATAACTGAACACAAAGCTAATGTGAATAAATAAGATCCACTACTCATAGAATATACCATGTCTGGGGAACATGATGTGCTAGAAAGAATCTCAGAGATGAGCTGAGAAAATTGACATCAAGAGAAATCGCCCTACAGTCACAGAGCTAAGTGATGACAGAAGTGAGGCTAGAACTCAGGTATCTTAAAGCTTAAATTGAATATTTCTCCTATTTTGAGATCTTGTCTTCCATATCACTAAAAATCATAGTTTGGCATCTATGTCTTTCTTTTATTTTCCGTTTTTTACCCTTCCTTTCCCCCTTCCTTTTCCTGTCTGTTCCCCCTTCCCTTCCCTTTCATTTTTTCAAGCAAAATAAATTTTTAAAGTAAATTCCCTTAAGATTTTGACCATAAAGGGATTAGAAATTGAGACTTCAAATTGATAGAATCTGAAAATATGTTAGTTTAAATAAAATTAGGTGAATTCCTTTTGTTGGAGGGTTTCTCCATAACAACTTCCAAAAGCACTAAATTTATGGTGAGTGTCCTTTCTGAACCGTTTACTTGCTATTTCTATTAACTTCAATGACTTGAATTATAAAATGCTGTGGAAACTATTGAAAATAATTAACTTGAAGGTGCTTCATTTTCTGATATAGCAACAATTTTCAAGCAAATTGCAATTTTAACTGAGGTACCATTCTAATCATTTACTGACTGGCAAGAATTAGTATTATCATTAAGGCTTGATAACTATTTATGGGTTTCCTAAAAAGACAAACACAGGAGATAGAGAAGAATAGTTATCAGTGTAATGCTATGGAAGTAGAATAAGTAAGAAATAATTAACTGAACAAATTATCATGAGGGGATATGACAACAATTCCTGCTAAGGTAAACTAGGTAAGGGAAAAAATGCAGTTTGGTCTTTGTTAAAAGATGTAAAATTTGGGGATAAAAATCTTACCTCTTGTTATTTTCATTTATTTTTGAAAAGAGAGAAATGAGACTTGCTTTAGATTTTATAATATATGTCTGAGAATAAAATATCAATTTTACTGATTCACTACAATAAGCTTGTACTGACAATGAATAGAAAGCAATGCACATTTTCAAAGTTACTATCACATTCATCACAAATGGAAACTCATCATTCTTGATGGTTAACTCACCTGCAATGGACTGAAATGGGCCCATCTTGGCCAAACTGCTCTTTTGTTTTATGTACTTGGCCAATGAAGTCAATAAATCCTTCTCCAGACTTTGGCACTCCTTGCTCTGGCCAGTCAGTGAACTGGAACTGCCTCACTGTTCGGGACTGTCCATCCTATACAAAGAAAGCCACATACCCAGCCACAGAGGAGGATACCAGGAAGATCCAGCCAGTGTACAGACCACAGCAGCAGGAAATTTTTTTTTCCAAAAAGAATAAAAAAAAAAGAGGTGTGTGTGGGGGGTGTTAGAAACATGTTTAACTAGAAATTTAGTCACATGTGTGTCTTATCTGTTATTAACACTGTCTATATTCACATATATTTAAATTGCAATTTCAGTCTGGCAATGCCCAAGTAAAAACCTGGGTTCTTGTAAAAAGCCATCTAGTTCCCATATTAGTAAATGCTTCCATGATCCAAAATTTGCCTTCAAAACCAAAGTGGAACATATATACTCTATTTTAAAAATTTCAGGAGCCAATAACTTAATATTGAAAGGAGCAACTAGGCATGTCATCCAGACCAGAGATTTTGCTATTGTCACAATAACTTCCCGTCTGCTGTGCTTGCTTATATCTAGCATTGTCAAATGACAAATAGTGACACTAAAAGGATCTGACACCAACTGGGTAGCTGTTAATCTCGATGCCCCACGTGTCTCAGAGGCATACAATTTCTAGCCATGGTAGTGTATATAGCGTGTGTTATGCAACTATGCTGTTGGGTGGGAAGGAAGTAAGGGGTCCCTCAAGGAGATAAAAGAGATTATTATCAAATAAACACTCTATTCTGAAAAAGCGCTCTTCTGGCTGACCACAGGAATTAGGCACTGTGGGGAGTTTAACAGACAGACCAATGGAAAGAAAACAAGCTGGATATGAGAGGAATCTTTAAAGTGATTAGGCAAAACTACTCTGACTCATGAAGTAGAAATGATTTGAGAAAGATCTACTAATGTGCTTCTGATTCCTTCTAGAACAGTGTTTTCAGAAGCACAAGAAAAGCAGAAGGGACCCTCTCTTTAATTGGAGGAATAAGAATTATGGCCATAAACTTTCTTCGCTGAATCCGCTGAGAGGGAGAGGGTCCAAATTCCATGCTTGGAAAGACTGATCCTATTTGAAGAGGCTCTGCTCCCAGTTAAGCCTTCAACTTGTTCCTCCTTTCCATTTTTGTAACATCTCTTTCCCCTTTAAAGGCCTTTGGATATGGGTATGCATGTTCCCAAGATTCTGGTTAAGTAGACAGAGACCCAATCTTTCCCATTCAGTCAGACTGAGAGGAGGGGATGGCTTAGCTCGAGATGGGCATACATAACTTGTGTCTTGTGTTTTCCACAGGAAAAGGGCATATTCCTGACTGTCATCATTTGATAAAACAGGAAGATCACATTAACTTTGTGGGAACACTGAGGAATATGCAAATAACTGCTTGGCCCCATAACTAACTTATGGATGGTAACCATGGAAGCATGATTTACTTCCCTCTGTTTCTGGAAAAGGTTTGGAAAGCACAGGAAGGAAGCCAAAGACTAGGTAATGTGGATTTGTCCTCCTCTGAATATCCTGGGGATTTCATTTCTGACTACAGTTGCTTTTAGCAGCAAGAAGAGGTCATGTGCACAAACACTTACTATTTGGAGGAGACACCAGCTGACTCCATTTAAAGGTTACCTGTTTAACAATACTGTCTTCCAAGTGCCAACTCACTCTCTAAACTGCTTTCAGATTAGAAACACACTAGGAGCACAAACATCAAATGCTATGGCAGCTAAGAAAATTATAAAATCACAGGGAGCCTTTTAAAAAAATAATTTGAATAAGTTCTTCAATATTTCTTTTTCTTTTTGTGATCAGATTTAATTTGGGCAAGTGAGGAGTAGTAAAGAAATTGTGTCTGTTATTTGCAGGGCCTAACCCCCAGTCTTTACCATCAGAAATGGTTGGTGGATTTTCTTGGAATGTACTTAAGGTTTTCACTCACATATCTATCTTCAAATTATGAAAGGGCAACTGTGTGTATGTATGTATGTATGTATAACCAAAGCATGCTTACTTGGGCAACTTAAAAAACTCAACCTACGGACTTAACTGCTATTAACTGCTATCTTGAGTATGGTCACCTTCAGAGTAGTTAAGATTTCAGACTTTCTGGGATTAACAGATCTGTCACCTGGGCCAACCAGTCTGCTAACCAATTTCTCCTTCACTTTAGGCCAATAGCCAGGGCACAGCTTTGGAGATTAGCAGACAATCTCTAAACATGAGTATTGGCTGGGAAAGCTGCTGTCCAGAAAAAAAAAAAAAAAAAAAAAAGGCAAAAAAAACAAAAAAACAGTGGATCAAGTAAATAGCTGTATCCTGGAGTTTCATTCAACCCACCTACTGTGACAGTTCCAAAAACAAAGCAAGGCTTTGGACTGACCCTGCTCTCTCCTAAGATATGTTTGTAATCATGGTTTGAAAGTGGCCAAAGGCAAGGATATTAAAGTTTATGCATAGAACATCTTACATCAGGGCTGAACCTTGGACTCAGCAATCTAGATAAGACATGCAGAATGAAAATTAGCCAACAAGGGTCGTGGGTGCACAGCTCTCATGGACAGACACATTAGCACACCGAGGAATAAACCATGCCAGGAATCAAATTAGAATGTGCAAAGCTTGTCAGAGTCTTCTAAAGAATGCCATTTGCTCTGCAGTTTTAAAATCATACCAAATTAACCTCTAAGTCCACATGACCTAGAGGGCTTTGCAAAACAACAACATATTTACAGCCTCAAGTAATGAAGAAGTCAAAAAAGCTCCAAAGAGAATAAGCTGAGAAAGTGAATATAAGCACAGCCAACCAATCAGTAAATGCTTCCCAGGACACACACTCACCAAGTGTATCCCCAAAGTTGGGCTGCCAGATGTTATGTTTGAATGGAAGCCAAGCCTGCATGTGAGGACACTTGCCAGACAGAGGAAAAGTTACTCTTACAGTAAAAAAAAAAAATAGTCCTCCAAGATAAGTTATTTCTTTACACTTTGGGAGTATGATCACTTGGCAGATGTTTCTCCAGAGATGCTTATTTATTTTGAGAGAGAGCACATGCGTGGGCAGAGAGAGAAAGGGAGAGAAAACACCCCACTTAGTCTCCGTGCTGTCAGCACATAGCCCAGTGTGGGGCTCGATCTCAGGAACCCATGAAATCATGACCTGAGCTGAAATCAAGAGCTGGACACTTAACCGGCTGATCCATGCAGGGACTTCCCCAGAGATTCATTTTAGACTGCTTTTCAGCTAATGGTTAAGAGCATAAGATTGTGCAAACTTACCCTGGCATCTGTGACCTTGAATTCTCTTAGGATATACTGTGGCATGTTGTACTCAGCCATGGGATCTACAACAAAGTACTGGTATCTTGCAGATCGTTCTGCGGGCCAGTATTGGTGACATTTCTCCTAAAAGGAGAGAGGATTAATGTCAAATCATACAAAGTACAAATATTATCTAATCATCTATCAATCTACATATTTCTTTCTCTCATTAAAAAAGTTCAAAATTCAAGTCCATTCCAATGGCATGTGACCCATTTTCTCTTTGAAGCCATAAGTTCCCTGAGAAGAGGGAAATCATGTGGTTTAATATTTGCCCATGGTACAAAGCACAGAATTGGCATACAGAAGGTTATTAATACACATAAATTAAATTGAATACTTTGATAGTATAAGTGTCTTCATACCTACAAGTTCTCCAAATAATTACACCAGTCCTTGGATATAATGCTGGCCCTATCCATCATGCATTGCACCACCAGAGGAGACTTGCATCAGAGCATTATGGAATAATAAGAACCAGCAAGTGTGAATGGAGAAAGAAACTTCTATATTGATTTGGTCCAGTCTCCCTTGTCAGCTGAGGAAACTGAAGTCCAGGCAGTTTTAATGATTTGGCTAAATTTTGCAGTGTCAACTCTGAAGAGTCAGAATAGTCAAGTTAATTTCTTAGTTTGGCTTTTTTTTTTTTTTTTTTTTTTGCTCTCTTTATGTGGTTTAAATGATGGGTTTTAGATCCATCTCTACCATTTAATTTATACAAAGAAGACAGAAAGAAAATATCTTAAGCAAATATAGCAAAATGCTTGCATCTATTGAATCTAAGTGGTAGTTCCTTAGGTATCTCTAATACTATTTATATTATTTTATTAGAGAGAGAGAGAGAGAGAGAGAGAGAGAGAGAGAGCAAGCTGGGGATGGCAGAGGGAGAGAGAGAGAAAATCTTAAGCAGACTCCACATCCAGTGCCAAGCCTGATGGGGGCTTGATCCCACAACTGTGAGATCATGACCTGAGCAGAAATCAAGAGTCAGGTACTTAACCAACTGAGCCACCCAAGTGCCTCATATACTATTTTATATATTTTTCAGAATAATCATTTTCAAAAAGTAGAACTGAGATTACCAGATTATATCCTTGGAAAAACTATGTAACTATTCAACCTGGGTGGAGAATGGGCAAATAAGAATTTGCTTCACAGATGTAAGGAAGTCAAGTTCATTCCCACAGAGAAATGAGGGTACATTTGCTCATGAAACTCCAGCTTTTCCAGAATAAAAAAAAAAAGATTGTGCCTGGAAACAAAATACTAGATCTTTCTCCAAAACACACAAATTAAAGAACTTGATGTGGCTTTGCAAGTTAAAAACCAACAGAGTAATGAATGGCCCAGAATGTGACCAGAGAACTCTGCATTTCAAAGAAATGATGTTGGCCCTTGGGTTATTAGAATGAAATTGTCATTTCTTCATGGTGAATGTCTTATGAGAAGACACTCACTCTGCCCATCTCACGCAGCTTGGTGAGCATCACAACGATGGTGGAATTGTGTTCCCAGAGCATCCGCCAGAAGTCTTCTGTGGTCTCTGCCAAGGGCCCCTGGGTAGCAATGTAGGCTTTCTGTTGTCTGAATTATAGAGAATAAAAATAGCATGTTAAAGTAATCAGAGAACATGCAAAGGTTCACATATGATATGTAAACACCAAACCCAAGGATGAACACTGAAAACATATTATCATTGCAGTTGTAGTAAATGTCCATTAAGATTGTGTATCAAATAAGAATGTTTAGGGGCGCCTGGGTGGCGCAGTCGGTTAAGCGTCCGACTTCAGCCAGGTCACGATCTCGCGGTCTGTGAGTTCGAGCCCCGCATCAGGCTCTGGGCTGATGGCTCAGAGCCTGGAGCCTGTTTCCAATTCTGTGTCTCCCTCTCTCTCTGCCCCTCCCCCATTCATGCTCTGGCTCTCTCTGTCCCAAAAATAAATAAACGTTGAAAAAGAATGTTTACTATATTTGAGGGACTTTACAAAAGAAATTGCTTTGTTACTATTATCATGTAGGCCTTCATTATTATTTAAATTTTAGTGCAATGCTCATAGCTCAGTTTTATGTATCATACAAATCACTTAAACACTGGTGTGGCTTTGCTTTGTAGAAAGGACTCTTACATAATCTATTACATTTATGAAATAAATCTTCTGTATTAACTCTTTCCACACCCAAATGGTTTCTAAAGGAAGAGTACAAAAGGCAAGAATAAAGAATCCATGACTGCTTCTTCTTACTCCTACCAAAAAACAAACAAACAAACAAACAAACACCAAGGGACTGAATGCTGACCTATGCATAAAGAAGATGTTTTCAATTGAGATGAAATTCATTCTGGCTTATGAAACTGGGGCACATGTAAATATCAAGGCTTTGGACTGTCAGGGGAGCAAGCGTATATACCTGTATCCATCAATAAAACTGGCATTGATGTAATCAGATCCTTCTACTCCTCGGATAGGCTGCAGGCATACCCTTGTGGATTCATATGGCATAATATTAACAAGGCGATTTTTGAATTTATTACATGGAAGATTGGCACTGATGAATCTTGAGGTGTGAGCTTTAGAGCTGGCTAGACGCTGTTGAATAGAAAAAAAGAAAAAAATCTGACAAAGATAATTTTAGCCTACAGTTAGATGCAATGTACCCGAGATTTCCTCTTTAGAGGAAAACTTTAGAGTAAAGCTTTTGTTTATTTTAAAGCAAAGGACTCTTCAAACTGCACTGCTTTTCACTTCTACCTAATGATTCCATATAGTCTACTGACTTTTTAAGTATGTTCTGAGAGTATGATCTCTCAGTTTAAATTAAGGTACAAAAGAGCTCGAGGTATTGTTAGGAAGCAAAGGACAGAGAAAAGGGAAAGAGGAAGAAAAGTATTTTATAGTCGGACACCTGAGAAGGTCAAGTGAATCTTGTAACTTCAAAAACTTGAAAGGTTAAGAAAGTGAGGCCACTATTCAGAGACAATCCCAGAATGACTTGCTTCTGAATTACCACATCACATCCAATATCATACCTTAAATTCAAGCTCCATTCCTGTGACATTCTCTCCTGCTTCTATTTGTGTCAGCTTCTGAATGTAGGCATACAAGTTTCTAGCTGGCACTTCGGTATTTCCACAAGTCACTGCTTCTAACAGTGCATCATGGATAAAGATGTATTGGTCTTCTGTTTGAACCATGTAATTCCTCTGGGCTCTCATTAAAGTTACATGGCCATAAATATCTACAGTTTTTTCATGCTTTATTCTTTCTAACATGGCGTCTATTACAATGAAACAGCCAGTCCTGCCAACTCCCGCACTACAAGAAAAACAAAAGAAAAGTCTAAATAAATCTACCAGGAAACAAACACATTAAAAATTATTTTCATTCTTATTAACTAAGTTTTAAAACCATTAATTCTTTTCAACTAGCTATTGGGATTATTTTGGAGCACTCTAAAATAAAAGGTATTATCAAGTCACCGTAACCAGAGGGGAGGGAATCAAATACCAAGTATAATTAATTTGGTTTCAAAATGTAAATCCATAATCACTATGCTCCTTGATCATGTAAAACAAAGCATACATTATTTTGAAAGACACATTTAAAAAACACATTTAGGTTATTTATATTAGAAGGCATTTTGTAAATTGGTTAATATCTAACTAGGCTATATCTTTTTGCAAATCTTCTCCATTTATTTCAGTTCAATTTGCGAAATAAAAACTAGAAAATCATTCAGTATGAAATATTTCATATTCTAAAATGCAGCAAGGAGGTTTTAAGATCAATTTAGTGGGAAATATATAATTAAGATATTGAACTGCTATTACACACTAAAAAAAAAAAAAAAAAAAAAAAAAAAAAAAAAAAAAAGAGCAGGTAATTCTCAATGGAAATAAATTCCTAATAAAAAAACAATCACTAGAGAGTACAGGCGAGTTTTTCCTTCTCTTCCAGAGTTGAACATATTTTGAAATTCCAGGTGAAATTCAAGTATTCTGTGTGGGAAAATAAAAGCTTCAATCTTTGTTATTGAAGAAGCTCTGAGGCATTTTTTAAACTCCATTACTTCTGGACTTATGGGTCATTTTCCAGTTGGTGGAAACGGATTCAAAGAAGAGAAGGTAAGAGAGAGCAAAACCCCAAAACAAGATATGCTGTTCCAAGGAGACAATCTAATTTACTGAACTGGATTACAGAGTCAGGTGGTTGAAACATTGGAATTTCCTCAAGTGTTGGAAAGAATACTAGCAAAATAACACATCTGTGTTCTTAAATCTCGAGGTAAGTCTTGTTTGTCTCTTAGCAAACTCTTTAGAGTGAGTCCATTTATGTGTCAAGTATGGTTGAATCCAAAATATTTTTCTCTTCCTGATCATGGATATTTACCTGGCTGGGAAACATGTAATTAACAGGAATAGGTATACACAACCACCATAGATACTAAGCAACAGTCTCCTTCATTAGCTACATGCCACTGTTTCCTGTCATTTGCTTATCTATGCATTCATTTATTTGTCCATCTGTCCATCAACATATCCTTCTCTTCATTCAATGAACAGTACTTTGTTCAGTAACATGTGGGATACAACATTAAAGATGACTTAGATCTTACTTTTAAAGAGCTCAACATCTATCAATGAGGTAAAAGGTTACTTAACTATTTATACTAATGGACAGAAAGAAAACAAACAAAAACCAGGATGTGTTGGTTTTGTGGATGATGTGGCATTTGAACCAGGACTTGAAGGACACAAAGGACGGGGAATTTAGGAGGCTAGAATAGCAAAAGAGAAAAAAATGGCTTTTGCAGCCATATGTTGGCTTTGGGAGTTACATATGAAACTTTTCATTGGCCTAGTGAGGCACTTATACAAGGAAGATACCAGAACTTCAAATGGATGAGTTTAGGGAGCACTAGGGTACCTGACTCAATTGAAATGGCAATTTCTCTCTAGTGCCAAGTGCCTACAAGGTGGTAAGTGAGCATTTTGTAATAAATAATACCTTTATTCATGTACTGAGCAGTACAGATCAAATCTAGCTTCCACACAAAGGCCCTCAGGTTTGTAGACTAGGTTAAGCAGGAATATGATAGGAACACTATTTAAAAATTGCTTACTTTTTATGTCCTGTCAGACATAAAAAATGACTGTTAGTATTTAGTCAGAGAGCCTCTGGATTTTCATTCTATGACTGCATTCAAGGTTTAACCACAAAGTGATACTACACTGAGATGTAATGCAAAAGCTTTTGGAGACAAAGAGTCTTTGAAGTGACAGACATTTTTTTTAGCACACAACAATTAGAAATCTGATGCACCCAGATCCACAAAGTCCCGTTTACTTAGTTTGTTCTACTAATAAAACCGGGAGATGGCAAGCCTTCCCTGATACTCCCCATTACCCCTCTCTCCCAGTCCCTAGGCAGGATTAATCACCCTCTGTTCCAGATCACCTAAGTGGTATCTCAAATGCCACTCCATTACAGTCTCAATCACATCGTATTATTAACTAGTCTGGTAGGGTCGTCATCCTCAAATCATGGAGTATATCCTGAGAGCAGGAACTAACTTTTCTGTTACCTTTTTGTGTCCTAAATTAAGCATGAAGTCGGTGCTTAATAATGTTTGTGAAATAAGAAAATAAATCAGTAATTGGCATCAGAGGCCTTACATAATGAGCAGCCCACCCATGTTCGGTAAGCCTACTGAGAAAGAAGGACCCTTCAGTCAGTGAAAGAAGCTTACATTTGACAAAGGTTCAGAATTATGCAGAGAAGGCCTGAAAACTGCTCCACAGTGCTAGGTAGGGAACAGGGAGAGAGGAAAATGCTTTGAGAGGCCTCTGTGTCTGGGTCTTCTGATCTGCCATCACAGTGCAATTAAAAGAAACTAAGTAAGACTTAACCTGGAGAAAGGGGATAGCCCTCACATTTAGGAGGTTCTAAGACCATGAGTAATATCTTTTTTCTCTGCGTTGTTTTACTTAATTATCTTCATCCTAATTGTGCATTGTTTCTAATTGGATACAACGTCATGCAATTCTTTTTAGTGCAAACCATGCCATAAGCCTTATAACTGAGCCCTAAATAAGTCAATTCTAGACAATGGCAGGTATATTTTCCCAAAAAATGCAGCAGGGACCATTCCAAATGTCTATATTCTGGATCTATATTCTGACAAAAAGATATCTTGGGATCTTGGAAAATTGGTAGGAATAACTCCAGATTCAAACAGTAGCAACCTCTTCATGGTGGTATGGATGCAATTTCCCCAAAAAACTGAGGGAAAAAATCAAATATGTGCCTGAGTCTAAATTACAAACTATGGGGGAAAAAAGACAGAAGAGAGGCTATTACTTGTGTAAAACCTATTTCTTCTCCGCCAATTCAAAATATTGTTAATTCCTCAAACTTGCTATTCATATGGAAGATAGGGAAGGAGTGGACCCTTTTAATTTATGTATTACTTCATCTTTAGAAGGAAGAGTTCTTGGGTATTTAAATGTTAGAGAGGTTTCTTAGCTTTAAGTAAGATCATGAAGTTCAACACACTTTTTCCAGATACCAATGGCTGAGTGCCCTTGAGAAAGTCACTTAAACTCTTCCCTGCTTTCCCATTTTTTTCTTAAATCGCGATAGTGATCATTAACTCTAGTTAATTACTTAGCAAGTTTTAAGGCTGAATTAAACATGCCAAGTGTTTGCAAACATAAAGGAAGACACAGTAACATTGTGGGTGCAAACTCATTTTAAAATTCTACCTCTGAAGCTGACGAAAGGAATAGATAATGTTAAAGCTAAGAAAATTGTGATACAATCACTGCAGGATCATTTAAGATTAGGCTTTCAACATCTTGCTTTAATCTACCCCCTCAAGCTGTTCTCCCCTTTCTCTTCATATTTCAAATAAATAATATCTTACATTTGAAGAACTTACCATTTCATATATTGTAGTCGAGATGCCGCAATGTTTCACACACTGCTTATTCTGGAGGTACTAGCAAAATGTCCGTCAGTTCCCTTTTCCCTTCTATGATTTATAACATCTGGGAGCTGCCCTAAAGTCCCACAGCTAATAGTAAATGGCTGAAGAGGGGCTCAATTGTAAGTTGTGAGATGTTAAATTTAGTACTACATTCACAGGCATGCCACCTGCTTTCTGCCAGTTGCATCAGAAAAAAAATGGTGCCCTTCTTGTGGCCCACCCCTCAACAACATCCCTTTAGTATTGTCTCCAACATCTGAATGAGAGGTTCCAGTAAACCCTTCCTTGGTTTCTGTTTAATTCCTGTAATGATAATCCTCATGCTTCTCTGGATTTTTCCATCTGTATCTCTTTCTCTAATTCACATACCTTAGCCAAATGCCAAAATGTAGATAATGTCCCCAAAGTTCTGTCCTCATTTCTCATTCCCCTTCATGATTCACCAATAATCTTCAAACAGATGATTCCTAAGATGATATACTTTTCTTTGAGCATAAGTGGAGACCTATATTTCAAGCCACCCTCAAATTTCTTTAGAGATAAATAGATTCCAAGATTAATCAGCATCTTCTCTGTTCAAATCTGCTCTTCCCTCTCTCTCTTTCCTTGCTATTCAGGGCTAAAATTTAAGAATCAGTTTGGACTGTTTTCCCCTCCTTCCCTGTACAGTAATAAATTATGAATTTCTGTGCTTTCAACCTCTACAACTTTATTCAATTATCCATCCATGGTGTGCTGGAGCCAGCAGTAGCCAATTGTTAAATTCTCAGAAATTTTGCATAAATGTATTAAAAATAAGGTTATACACAAAACACACTACTTCTTAATTAGTTTTCATTTATGCTCTTGAGGTGAAACTATTATATGATGATGTGCTAACTGAGCCTCTCTCCTGAGCTTTGCCTTCAGTGATGTCACATTTGTACCTTGAAATCAGCCATGGTGGGAGGACGTATAATGAGGAAATTGGCAAATATTTCCCCACCCCCACTCCCACAGAGCTGGTTGTTACACATTGCCAGTAACTATTGACTGTCCTAACTCATCCATGCCCATCAGCCAGGAACAGACAGGAAGTTGCTCATTACTTTGTTTTTCCATCCACATTTGCTACGTCCTCTCATAAGACTCTATAGGCTAATATTTAAGGAGTGCCCACCATGTGCTAAGACATCAGGGAAGTGGTGAGCAAAGTCAACAAGATCTTCTACTCATGGAGATTACGGTTTAGTAGGAGAATTAGATAGTAAGTGATCATATGAATAAATATACAATTATAAATCTCCAACAACTGCTATGAAGTAAATGTACAGCATGCTGGCCAAGT